TCTTGCTGACCCTGCACACGTTGTTTTGCCATATATACACTTACATACGTCATTTTTCGGAAATCTGTATATGTTAAAGAAATATATTTAATTTAAGTGAATATTTTTAAAAATAACGAATTATGTAATTATAATTGAAAGAGGAATGAAGATGAAATATAATTAAATTACAATTATTAAAAGAAATATGAACTACATTGGATGTATAGGTACCAAAGTAATTCATATTTCTACTATTAATTATTTCAACTAAAAATAAACAAAGATTAATATCTCATAGCAATGGAGTGTACAATATTTTTGATTAGTCCGTCATTAGCGAATTCAAACAAACTGGATGGTTTGCACACGCGAGAACATGCCACATAAAGTTGTCCGTGAGAAAAGCATGGTGTACCCAAATCTAAACCACAAACAGACAACGTTTAGCTTTGAGAGTTATCCATCTCCATTACGAATGTCAATCTAATCGGAAATTGAGGTATTCGTGGTAGCAATACATTTTCTCTTGCAATTCAAAATGGTAGCTTCGTTAATTTTTTATTGACTAATCTAATCCTATCCATTCAAATTCCGAAGCAAAATAACCGGAGATCCAACCTTCAGTTGTAAGTGATGCGGTGGCATGCCCGGCATATCCAGTGAATCCAAAAACTCAATTGGATAGTTCCCAGCTACGTTGTCATCGCAAACAGCATCGATATATTTGTTTGACACCAAGTCCCCTGGCAACAACTGTTGTATCTTTGAATTTAATCCATTGACGTCTAGATTTTTTGCTGCCAAAATCGATCTTTCTGCCAGTCACTCAAGATTTTTTTAATTTCCTATCCATTGCCATCTAATAAAGTTGCTCATTGGCAGATGATGCATCGGCCAATGCGATACGATTTTTTTATCTATCTCAGCAAGAAGTAGCGAAATAAGGAATTTTTGGCGTTACATCTGGAACCTTCAAAATAAAATGTTCACTTGCCCTGCCGAAACTACCAACATAATGCGGTCGTAAATTGTTTTATAATCATCATTTAGTAGTGGAACTTTGCGAGAAAGAGTCACTGCGAATTCGACAGTATCATACATCATTTCACGATTTATATCTGTGTTAATTAAATCAGATTCACTTCGATTTAGTGACCTCATACTTAAATGACTGATTGTTAAAGTCGCAAGCTTAGTGCACGACATGCATCTTTATACGTCTTATCTTTATACTGTTACACATTTAGTTTAAATCTTTGATAACAATGGTCTGGTGATATTAACCAACAGCAGTCGCAGATAAAACCACTCAATGAGCCCTGGATTGATTTTATATACACGACCCAAATTGTTTGATTTGAATAAACCGGGGCATGGCTCAACTGGTGTGCCTTGCTTATGGGGTATTCATTTTTTCGATTGAGCTCATGTAAAAGAGCGTGGTACTTCTAAATAGAGAAGTGTTTGTGCAAAGGCACTAAAAACATCCGCACAATTGAGAAAAATTCGGTGAGCGTAGTTTTAGGTGGATTTATAGCACAACCAAGCTTCGTTCGTGAAAAATACACATTGGGCGTTTTCGATAGTCAATAGAACTATATATGAAAATTATAGCGTACTACCATTATTAAATTCGATGGCCATCTTGTGAATCTGTAAATAGAACCGAATAGTATAAAAAATGACGATCAAAAGTCAGGGGTATTCGTATAAGTGTGAAAATTTAGAATTGTATGTATTTTTCAATGCAGAACCATTAAAAAATAAAAATTATGCCAACACTTGAAGGTATTTCCCCGGATTTTTTAATTGCAAGTTGCAAGAGTATGAACTGTTCGTTTACACCCGAACTTAGCCTACCTTACTTCCCTTTGAGTTCATTGACCTTAAAATACAAGGTGGCTCACGAACCTTGCTACAAAAGCAAACCGTAATAATAATTTTTTTATTTAGCAATTTAATTTTTTTATTTATTTTCGTATTTTTTGAAATAGAATGCTTGGGATACCTAAAAGAGGGTTTGTACAGTGCAACGGTACCATGCTTTGAAGTCAGTCATTTCCGTCCAAAGGGAACCAAATCCAGAAGTAATCCATTAGACGGAACTTCACCCAGAACGAGGCCTTGTGTGGTGCGCAGTTTCATCAATGTGTATTGTCGGGCCATACTGCTTTAAAGAAAACGGTGTAACAGTAATTGTCAATGAGCATCGTTACTTAAAGATGTTGAATGAGTTTTTTACCCAGAACTGCGCCGAAGACGTATTCCGTTCAATAGCATTTGGTTCCAGCAAGATGAAGCAACTGCACACATAGCCAGACCGATTATTGCATATGTGTAGTTACAACGAAAATTTTAAAACAAATTAATATCAAGAAACTCCACTTTTCGCTGGCGCCCAAGGTCACAGGGTTATGTCATGGTATGAGCATGGAGGTTCATAATTTTAGAAAACAATTAATTATATAAAAATAAATAAAATTTGCTATACAATACAAAAAAAAATATGTAGTGCATTGATTAAAAAAAAGTTATTACGGTTTGTTTTTGTAGCACGATTCATCAGCCGTCCTGTACCAAGCGAGCTTTGCAACTCAGTAGAACTCGGCACTCAAATATGCTTATGCAATATATAAATCTTAATAGAATGCCCAGAATAGAAAACATATTAACACTTTCGCTTCGTCTTTTTTGTTTCCAGATCTAAAAATCATAGTTAGTTACATAATTGTCAACTTTGACCTTAACAATCACAAGCACTTTTAAATTTTAATTTATTTTTTATTCCGAATGTGATATTAAGCATGATGTGGTTGAAATAAGTCCAAAAATTAAATTTTTTGCTAGTTTAAAAAAAAACAGTTAAGTTACATAAGTAATACTTATATAAAAAGCTGTAAATATTCAAAATAATATTGTATAAAAAAATATGTAAATTATCATGTGCTTGGATTAGGAGCCAATTTCGATTTCTAGTTTGTTTTTGCCAACAGAAAAGGTTAGTCACGTTCTTGTGTGCTCTTCGATTTTTGACTTTTAAAAGAAATGGATGAAGGAATATGTATTAAATTTTGCGATAAAAATGGATTAAAGTGCATCAAAGCTTTACAGAAGGCCGAGAAGATGTTGATAACGATGAGTATCCTGGATGTGTAACCACGTCAACAAGCGAAGAAAACATCGAAATAATGAAAAAATTGTTCTTGAAAATCTTCGAATCACTATTATGGAAGTTACAGAGGATGTTGGCATATCAATCGGCTCATGCCATTCAATTATCTCGAATGTTTTGGACATGAATTAAAACGTTTTTCCACAATTGATGAGATCAAGTCAGAATCGAAGAAAGAGCTGATGGCCATACCAAAAAGCGCATTTCAGAAGTGTATTATATCCGAGGGGGATTACTTTGAAGGGGACAAAATAGATATTGATGAATAATAAGTACTTTTCAAAAAAATTTAAAATTCACCTTTTCCTTTGAACACATCTCGTACTTGCAGTGGTTGGTTATATTGACGATTCGCACGTCAAATTATTACTATAGTATCGGAGTGGCTATTCAGCTCAGTTGCAAAGCTCCTTCCACAACTTTTCAATACGTATTTTATGTCCTTACAAAATACTTTAGGAAATCTTGAAAATTTTCCATGAACTGTCTCCTATTCAATATTTTTATATTTATCCTTAAGGAGTAGCAAAATTATGCATAAATAAATGTGCAAATTAATAAAGCTTTCATTATCAATAAAATTTCACACGTTAGGTTAGGTTTGGTAATCAAATTGATATTCGTAAAGTAAAGTCTGATAATAAGGCTGCACTTCGTAGCAGTAGCAGTACGTCTACTGCCATCTTAATAGCAGCCACTTCTGATTAAGAAATACTACAGTGATATGGTATTCTGAAACTAAAGCTAATGGAGAGCTCTTATTATCATGGGCTCAATGAAGAAATCACACGTTGTAAATTTTTCGTTTTCATATCAAATTTAAATATGTGAATTCGTTTTCAGAACAAGGCATTTCATTTCGAAATCAGATAAAAAATTATTCGATTTTTGGAACCGGCAAATTCGATTTTTAAACCGAATCATATTTGTATGTGAAAGTGACATACAGAACATGGATGATTGACCGATATACAAGTATGCAGTAAAGGACAACCGGAAGTTTAAAATTCTTATAAATTTTCTTATATTAGGTATACGGGGGCTAGAGAATATTTTGACCGGATACAGTTTTGGTATAACGACATTACATTGGCAGATTCCGAGTCCTATTAAGAAACCTTACAGATGGGACCACTAAACAAGGTATAGCCCCGATTTGATTTGTTTTAGGCACAAGGATACATTTCTATCAGTAAAGGATTCTCTGAAATTTAGTAAGATATCTTACATAATAGGCTGCTCCATCAGCAGAGAATGATAATGAACAGAGAACGCGCAAATGTTAAATAAAATCTTTTTGAGTACTAGTTTGTAGTTTTCAGAAGAGGGAACATCGAAAAATGTACTTCAAAAAGAAAAATACACCACGCAATGTGGTAAACGCAGAAAAGTCTATAAATAGACACAACGAATCTTCTTAAATTAATTATCGATGCGCATACCTATGCTATTTAGAGTTGTGTTTTCAATTTCTATGATATCAAAATATTTATAATTATGAGAAGCCTTTTGAACTAAAAAGGAGGATTACTGGTAAAAACTTATGACTTTATAATAAAATAAACATTGAATAGACAATTTTTTCAACTCATGAATGTGCGTTTCGAGGGCAACATGCTTAGTGAACAAGGGGTAATAATAAAACTGTGGCTACAGCGGCCGTGTTCTCACTTGAGGTGGCTTAGGTAGTAAGCGTGAAGGAGTTAAACTCAATGCGAATACAAGCACTTACGTTCGAATCCTAAAACTCATGAAAATTAAATTTTATTTAATGTTTTTATTTTATTATTTAAGTTACTTAATAGCGAATTTAACTTACTGAGATAATTAAAACATTTCAGGAAAATATGTTCATATGTTTAGTTTTATTGAATTTTCCCTTATTTATGCGTATTTTCACAAATATGACAATGAACATATTATATATTGATAAATTCGCGTACGCTGATGCTTGCTTCTCCTTGCCCCGTGCAAACAATGTTCCAACTAACTCTTCAATTTTGCTTTTAATGGTTAGAACGAAGAAACTGGCATATATGTAAATATTTCAGCTATATCTCTCATTAGTCAGTTTTATGTTAAAAGTTAAAATTTAGTATAAATTTGTGTGCACTTATGTATATTATTACGTATATATTATTATATTAGGAAAAAAACCGTTTAATATTTCGTTATGTATTCCTCCATACAAATCAGTCGCTATCATTAATAGTAAGCCTCAGATAAAACGTCTTTGTTCATGGTGGTAAGCGAACGAAATAACGGCGAGTTCGCGCGGAAACGGAGCGGAGCAAAAGTTGAGTTATGACAAAACGTTGAAAAAAACAGAGACATGTTATATGTGCATACATACGAGCTAGCATACGTATTGACGCCAAATTGTGCGCACTGTCCAGAAGTTGATAAAATTTGTTTCAATCGACAATTTTCCGACAATGTCGGCTATGTTGTCATGCTTGTCCTTTTTGCAGTGCTTTGTTGTAGAAAATTGACGTATGGTCTTTTGAAGTTATACGATTACTGATTGGGCTACATTTCTATAGCGTCGAATTTATATAAAATTGGCTAAAATGAAAATAAGTAAACATGTAAAAGAACTATATGCAGTGTACTTAGAATAAATAGAAGTAATTAAAGATTTCATATCAATGATAATTGTACAGAAATTGTAAAATTTAATGCCACACATAATGCATAATATGAAATAAATTGAAAAAATGTTTTGAGTCACAAATAGGACATGTTGCCAATTCTCGTTTCTGAAGGGAACATCAGACAAATTCTTCAATTTAATGTGGGTAACATGCAAATGCGAGGGGATGGTAGGATTTGTGCTGTACAAATGTTGTTGTCAAATTGTAAAATTGAAATTTTGGCTGATTTCTTAAATTAAAAAATTCATTCATTTTATTTAAACTTCGTTTCTGTTTCATAATCCTCGAGCTTTGAGGAAGAACTGCATATAAAACGAATTGTGGTTGACCAAACGCAGAGAAAAAAGGGGACGGCGCAGAGTTATGAACGAATGAATGCGCGTTCCTTATGAATAAATTTATTGTCGTTTTAACATGAGACACTTAGAAAATATATCGCAAGCTTGCTCTTGGCGTTTTTAGTCGCTTGAGCGAATGTTTAATTTCTTACAAATGGCATATTGAGGGACATATTTGTACATATATTTGAACATGCACATGAAGGAAAGGAAATTTATATAATATATAAACACACAATAGACTCCTCTATTTAGATATTATCTGTGTTGCTGTTTGCATAGCACAATGCCTAATTACAAAATCAAATATTTTGCCAAGTACAAATCCTATCACAGATAAATTTTATAACCTGTTTTATTTTTAGAAACAATTTTTATTAAGTTACATTTTAATTCTATTTTTATTATTATTTCCAAGTCAATTCATTTTCATTTTGTTATTTCAATTTTCGTTTACTAATATGTACATGTATGCCAAAGAGCAGCAGCGCATACGTTTTGCTTGGTTTCCTTATAGAGTGGTATAGTTCGTTGAGTTCCCTGATAGAGTGGTAAAATTTTATTTTCGAACTAGCGCTTTTTCGATGTTCCCTCTCCGCATACCTATTTAGATTTGTATTTTAAATTTCAATGATATGACAAAATTTATGATTATGAAAAACCTTTCGAATTAAAAAGGAGGATTACTGGCAAAAACTCCAGAATTTCTAATTAAATAAACATTTAATATGTAAATTTTCCAACTTTTGTATGTGCGTTGCGTAAGCGCTATGCTTATTGAACAAAGGATAATAATAAAACTATGGCTAAAGTGGCCGCGTTTCCACTTTTGTGGTGGCTCAGGTTGTAAGCGTGAAAGAGTTAAGCTCAATCCGCATACGAGCATATACGTTCAAATCCTAAAACTCATGAAACTTAAATATTATTTAATTTTTTTATTTTGTTAATTCAAATCTTAGCATATCTCAATTCCATCACTTTAATAATTAACACAAATGTGACAATCACACATACACTCTTAAATACACGTACGTTGATGCTTGCTTCTTGTTGCCCCGCACACACAATGACTTTTGTCTGCACCTTTTGCTTTTTGCAAGAAGCAAGTTGAACGATCGCAAGTAAGGAGGGATTAATTAATTAATATTTCAATACAATTTATGCAACATAATAATAGAATAGGCATCCTCAGTTAAAACGCATCTGTGTATGGTAGCATGCTATGGAAGTAACGGCGAGATCTCGCGGATATTGTGTTGTTGAAAAAAACCAAATGACGACTTTGTTGACAAACATACATATGAGCTCGCATACATATTAACATCGAATTGTGCGAATCGCCGCGGAGTTGACAAAATTTGTTTCAATCGACAATGTTGCGACAATGTCGGTCGGCTATGCTGTCACGTTTGTCATTTTTGTAGTGCTTTGCTATTGAAATTTGAGTTATACTCTTTTGAAGTACTGCGATTACCGATTGGGCTGCATTTCCGTTGCGTCGTTTTTGGATAAAATGGACTAAATCGAAGCATAGAACATATAGAAGTAGTTAAAGATTTCACATGAGCGGTAGTTGTACAGAAATTGTATAATTTAATGCCATATATAGTGCATTATATGAAATAAATTAAAATAATATTTTAACTCTCTAATAAGCCATGTTGCCAATTCTCCTTTCTGAAGAAATTCTAATTTTTAGCATCGTCGTGGGGAAGCAGCTTGTGGACAACATGCAAGCGCGAGGTAGGATTTTCAGTGGTGGCTGTCAAATTGTAAAATTGAATTTTTCTCGTTTTCCTGAAACTACAATATTCAAATTCAATTTCATTCATTCATTTCATAAACTTATTTTTAGCGTATTTGCCTAATGTGGTTTACCAGGCGCAGAAAAAATAGCCCATCGCAGAGTCATGAACGAATGCACTTTGCTTTATAGCAGACGCACATTCCTTATGATTGAATTTGTTGTCATTGTAATATAATATACTTAGAAAATGGGGCGCGAGTTTGCTTGATTAGTATTAGTCGATGATGGTGCATCTACGTTGTTTTTTTCACTTGCGCGAATGTTTGATTTTTTACAAAAGGCACATTGAGATACATATGTATATCAATTTTTTTTTTTGTTTTTTTTTTTTTGGGAGGGATAATCTTCAGAAAATACAGTCATTTTTCCGAACGATATGCACGATTCGTATTGGCCGCTAAGAACCAATACACCTACGTACTAACCTTAACTCCATCGTCATTGCTTGATATTCGCCCCCACGGAACCGCCGTTAAGCATTACATCGTGAGGTCAAGCTTAGCCATTCGTCTCGTCGGTCACGCCTTTCTGCCCTACACCTCATTCATTTTTCTGCTTTCGTTGCGTTGCCATTATTTTCTCCTCAACTCATGCAGAGCTATAACACAGCACGCTCTCACTCTATCCCACACTAGTTTCTTCTCAAACATAAGCCGCACTTTGCTATCCGGTGCCACTCGTTCCAGTGTCAGATTCTCTAGATCGGCTATCTCGATTTCATACCGCTGGCAGGAAAGGAGATGTGCAGCGCGTTTTCTACGCTGTTGTCGTGGAAGGAACATTTCGTCTCGTCGTCATGGCCATATTTGTAGAGATATTCTCTAAACAACCATGCCCTGTACATATGTACATACAAGTACAAGGACATGCGAATGAAGAATAGGCAATTTCGAGAATATTCACATACAAATTGTTAATTTGAAAGAAGTACACGAGTTTGAGTACACACAATAAACTCATTTGTCAATATATTGCCTGTGGTGCTGCTAGTATAGCAGAATTCCTTATTGCAACATCAATCATTTTGCCTAAGTTCAAATCCTATCACAGATTTTTTTTTTATTTTTAAACCTTTTTATTAAATTTATTCTAATTCCATTTTGATTATTATTTCCTTCATTATTTACTTTTCTTTTCATAAGTCAATTAGTTCCATTTATTATTTTGATTTTTAATGCGCATGCCAAAGAAAATCTGTGCATATGAACATTTTGTTTGGTTCCCTTATGAAGTCGTGAAGTTCGTTCCGTTCCTGATAGGTTGGTGAAATTTTATTTTCGAGCTTGCGCTTTTTTGATGTTTCCGCATAGTAATTTACATTTTAGAACAGCTAACATTTGCGCCTTTTCTATTCATTATTATTCTTTGCCCTGATATAAAATATTTATATTAGATAGAGGCTAACCCGTTTTTACGCATGCCTGCTTTTATCATAAAAAGATTCTCTCCGTATTTCAATAATATAAATCACAGATTAATCGATATTTTCGGTAAAAGTCAGGTATAGGCACTGTCGTCCACTATTTCGGCATCTGGGGCTTGCACGTAATAGGCCGTTTTGACAATTTTTAGTCAAGAGGTAGCATAACTTAAAAACACTACTCGTGCAAATTGTATCCCCATATAAAGTGCCTCACAAAATTGATGACATCTTTGTGAGATTTTATTTAGTCATTCCGTCCAATGTACAATGTGCCGAAGAGCGTGATCAATTTTGAGAGTTTCGCCCGAAGAGTTCGGACGTGTGCATAGTGAATTCATAAATTATAATAATTTTAATTTTTCTAATACATAGCTAAAAGGTAAGAGGAAAAATATATACGTTTTCCGTCGTTATAGTTGCTGATATTTTTGCAGACAATAAAAGAACATGGTTATCTCCAACTCGCAAATGGCTCCAGGACAATAATATAAGTAGCTCACATGACACGCACTGTAGGGTATATTAAAAAAATGGGTCGCAGGTGAAATCGGCTCATTGAGCGAATTATAGCCTAAGGTGCAGCAGGCGTGGAATTCTATTTCGTGCAATTTGTGTTTAAATCTGCCAAGAAGAATCAAAGCCGTTATAGAAGCTAGTTATACGAAAATAATATGTTCGTTTTTAGATTTCAGATGGAAATTAAAGTGGTTATATATGGTGTTCTCACTATAAGATAAAACTGTCAAAATATTGTTTTGTACTGAATTTTGTTAAAATTGGTTGAGTACGTCCTTAGATATGTAATTTTACCTAAAATGGGCGGTGCTCATTGTCCGATTTGATACTCGCTCCTATAAAGCTCTTCCGTACCGTATAAGATGTAAAATTTAATGCTTCTGGCGTATTTATTTAGTGAGTTATCGCACTTTTAGAAGTTTTTAACACAACCGTTGTATGGAAAGCGGACAGGGTTATTACCCGATTTTACTCATTTACACTGTGTGGAAGAGATTTTTCAATAATTAAATGTAGATTTAGTGGTATTTAGATATGTACATTAACCTTATTAGGGACGATGCATACCTACTTTTAAAAAGTTGCAAACCATAGATGCCTCTTCAAATTGCGATTCAATGAACCAAATTACAGATTTCTCTTTTACTTTTGGCTTAATTATGACACTTTATAAGTTTTCGATTAATGGCGCTATCTGCAATACCGTTTACCAAATTTCATCAAAAATATCATTTATTTACAAGTACATACATATGTATATGTAACTCAATATCTTGCTCGATTACAGGTTGGTTGAAACCATCTTTTCAACCAAGAAATATCCATTTTTTTTCTCAAGTTGGTACATCTGTCGTGAGAACACATGCAAAGTTACAAGTCTTCTGTCAATTAATTCTTTGTTTACAAGTCATTTGAAGTTGACATGTCAGAGTATTTTTAATATGGAAAATATTATATGTAATATTGCGCAGTGAATCTTGTTTTGAAAGGGTTAAAAGCAAAGAAAATGTATGAACAATTGTTAGGAGTGTATAAAGAGTCCTCACCTTCAAAACGCACCGTTGAATTTTGGGCTGGTGAATTTAAACGCGGTCATACTAGACTTGAAACGATCCACGCGAAGGCGACCAGACACCGCAACCATACCAGAAATCATTGAGCAAGTTGATAATATTGTTAGTGAAGATCCAAGTTTGACTAAGCGTGAAGTTGCTAATGCCATAGGCATCTCAGACGAACGAGTTCTTCATATTTTACATGGAGATTTACATATGAAATAGTTGGTTTGGAAGTTGTGCCGCACACGTTAACAATTCAACAAAAACTGGATCGAAAACAATTTATCGGCATAATGGAGCGATTTAAGCAAAATACAACCGATATCTTGCGTCGTTTTATAACTATGGATGAAATTGGATCTACCACCACTTTGAATCCTAAATTGTAATAAGAGCGTTTACAGTGGACCGAAGCTGGTTGTTAGTTCCAAAGCATTTGAAGTCACAACGATCAGCAAGAATTATGGCATCAGTTGTTTGGGATGCAAAAGGAATTTTGATGATTGATTTCTGCAGAAAGATAAAACAATCACTCTGAGTATTGGATCAGCTGGATGAAAGAAATCGTGGAAGATAAACTAGGTATTCGTGAGAAGATAAACTAGGCAGCATCATTTTATATAAAAACGAATTAAAGTACAAATTGCTTAGCATCACCGTATTCACCAGATATGGCCCCAGCATCTACTACCTCTTCAGAACCTGAAACAATTTATTCGTGGAAAGCGTTTTCGTCGAATTTAGAAGCTATTATAGCCGTAGACGGGTATTTTGCATATCTTCCGGAAAGTCATTATAGGGATGGCATAAAATTATTGTAGGATCATTGGCATAAAGAAGTTAAGGAATATTATATTGAATAAAAATATATTTCTTACCAAAAACAGTATTTTTCATTTCGAGCGCAGAAACTTTTCAACCAGCCTGTAGCAACATGTTGCGAGAGTGTAAAAATATATATGTACATACTTATGTCACTTTTAGCTCAATGTATCAGAATAAAACTTAGAAAACTAATTTCAATCATTCAAATTTGATTTCAGGAAAAGTGTTGCGTGGTATGATCACTGTAGAAAAAGAACGCAAAAAGTGCGCATATTCTATCGCAACTTCAATAACGTTATAGTTGTTAAGAATGTTAAATATTTTAATGAAGTGGCTAAGAAACATCGAAACGTACTTTGCATCCAATGGAAAAATAGTTTTGCATTTTTGGCCCAGATAATATTATTTATTACATGCGATACGTTCACCTCCGAAACCTATTGAACGAATTTACCGAAACTGGAATTAATGTGGAAATCTGATAATTTGCTATTTAAGCATTATCAAAGAAGAAAAACTCACGTTAGAGAATGTCCAGTGCTATTTACACAACCACCCCGAAATCGTGGATTTATTTTACGATTACATACACAGCTTGCTACAAAAGAAACCAGAAGTGGTGTTCCCATTTTCAATAAAATTTTCCAAAATATAAAGAATACTTACTAAGATTTATCTTCAGATTAGTGCCATACATATCTTGGACCGCAGTTTAAATAAAATTGTTTTTGAATAAATGAGGAAATTTAGTTTTTGCTCATAGTTTTTCTAACTTTTGACCTTAAAATTTACGTGATTTGTATAACGAATTATATTAGAAATAAATATTAAACCGAAAATATAAGATACCCTATATTTTATTAGCAAAGATTTTAAAGCTGTAGCAACACGTTCATTGAAATATATTAATTATCTGTTAATTATGGCTTTTAATAAAAATTTCCAACCCTATGTTTAATCCTAATACCATTTTTAACCGACACGAAGTCATGAGGTTTAGGCTGTCGTGTAGATTATCTGACTAATCTACTAGATTTTGCAAGATTTTCCCATACAAAATGACCCTAGTTAATCAAACAACGGAGGTGATTTTAATCTAATCTACTCGAAATCTACCTGTGTGACTCTAATTTAGCGCCATCTGTTTGTCACATTTTGTTGATTTTGACACAACAAACTGCTAAAGTGATAAAGATTAAACAAACAAATATAAGTAAATGAGTGAAAATGACAGTCTTCAATCACAAATACTGTCTCAAATTTTCACCAGGGCATAAACCTAATAACAGTAAGAAATCTTGTTTTCCATTTTTAATATACTGACGCTTCACTTATAGAGATCATCATAGATATTAATCGATTTCCGTTTTTGGAAGTAACTCAAACACGTAAAAAATAACAAACAAAGGTAAGCTTTCTGACTTGAGTTTTGTTTTTATAACTAAATCTTTTATTATTACAGATAAAGAAGACGAGAAAGACGCAGAGAAGTTCTAACCAAAAACCAAGTAATTTAAACAAATCAGCAATTCACGTGAGTTTATTATAATTTAATATCTTATTTTAAGTATCATAACGCAGTTGGATTTTTAGTGCATTCAATAATTTGGATTTGGTTTTCATTATACATACATATTGTATGTATATGCATGAATGTGCGTTTGGGCGTTTTCATTTCTGCTCGTGTGCAGAATGTTTAATATAATAATAATGAATAAAATACAAGTGAACATAATGTGTATTCGAATGTTTAACATTTCTGCTTGTTTCAGACTGTTGAGCATGATTAAAAAGAAGAAAAGTGTTAACTTCGGTTGCAGTTTGTATGGCAGTTATATGCTAAATTTCGTGAATTTGATTTTGATTGCTCAGTTTTATGGCAGCTCTATGATGTAGTACGCAGTAGTTCGAGTATATACAGACAGATGGAAATATAAACGAGACTGGCTCAAACAACAAAACGGTTCATTATTCTTCAATATTTATTTTATCCCTTCAAATAAGTCATCATTAGAGGCGATACACATATGCCACCTTTTGTTCCAATCTTCATAACACTTCTGGTAGGCCGCTTTAGGTATGGCTTTTAGTTCCTTCTTCGAATTCTCTTTTATGACTTCAATCGACTGAAAATGCTTTCCACGAAGCGGCAATTTGAGTTTAGGGAAAAGAAAAAGTCACACGGTGCCATGTCGGTGAATACGGTGCTTGCGGAACAATATTTACGTTGTTTTTGGTCAAATAATCGCGTACAAGACGAGACGTATGAGCTGGATTTTGGAACAAGTCGAGCAGACACACGTCTCATGCCCAAAACATCGTGAATAATGCTGTGAGCGGATCCATTTGATATGTTGAGCTCACTAGCTATCTCTCTTTCAGTCACACGACGATTTTCCAACACAATTTTCTTTATTTTTTCGACGTTTTCTTCGTTTATTGACGTTCCTGGACGACGATCATGGGGAAAGTTCTCCAGCGATGTACGGCCGTCCTTGAACGACTTATACCAATCAAAAATACGTGCACGCGATAGGCAAGACTCCCCATATGCCTTCTGCAACATTTTCATTGCGTCCGTCGCACTTATTCCATTGGAATAACAAAATTTCAAACAAACACTTTTTGCTGAACGTTAATTTCCATAGTAAAATTCGAAAAACACACTCGAGGTTGACTTGTTTATAGTGCCTTAAAAAAAACTCTGTGACAGATCGCGCTCAAATTTGACATGTAAACATATAACAGTCCTGCCAACCTAAGCAAAAAAAGTATGGCCATATGTCATGTCCTTGTCGAGTTATGGATAAAGTCTCGTTTTGCGTTGGTATATAAAAATGAAACCCGTTGTTTTTCCGTTGTCACGCCATAACTTGAGAACGGCTAGACCGATTTGGCTGGTTTTTTTATAGTTTTCTAATACTCTGTAGAAGGTTCTTACGTAATTACGTATTAAGAAAATGTCTCAGAAAGATTGAAAAACGTAACGAATGTCATCGTCATTCACAGCCATAGAATATATTGAAAGTGCATAGTTTGTTCGGAAATGTGGTTACTTAATTAAATTCTATCGCCTTCTCAGTTATGGCGAGACCAGGGAAATAGGGATTCATTTTTATATGGAGGATATTATAGATTCCAGTTTAAATTGAATAGGTACTCATACCTAAAATAGGACAACTGTCAGCTATACAAAATAATGTAGTACATCAAAGCTACGCTATGGCGGTACGAAGTTCGCCAGGTCAGTCAGTCATTTATATATATGGTCTCCGACGTTTACTTCTAAATGTTATAAAGTTCGTGGCAACTTAATATACCCTGTTTTTTACTTTCTTTCTTTAAATAGCCTTAACAACACTTTTTGCGTTTCAACAGGTAAGTTATTTTTTAATAACTATAACTACTAAATGAAAAATAATTTAAATATTTACATAGATAAAACACGATTTCGTTCGCTAAAAGTTCGGATTCGTATATACTGGGATTGGGAAATTAGGAAAAGCTTTCTGAACATGAAATTGTGTATATTGCATATGTGGAAAATTGTTGCTATTGGCAAACTAACCATCAACATTACACTGTAATAGTGGCCAGTTCAAAAAAAGGACTCTAAATTTAAAGACGATACAAGCATTTTGATTGGTTACACGAACGTTTGGTGGAGAAATTTAGCCTCATTCCCATACCACCGTTGCCAAATAAGATATTTTCTGGACGTTTCGAAGATCAATTTGTGGAGCATCCGGTACTGTCACAATGCAAAGAGTGGCATCATTTCTTGACCTGCAACGATGACAAGATGTGGAAATCAGGCAAAACGAAACGTGGCACATTTGTGGGAGTCTCTCATTGTTGCGCCATATCACCGCCTGAAAACACACTGTTGCCATCTCTTGTAGATGCTCACATGGAAAGATGTTCACAGTTCACGCATGCAATGGATATTTCGGTACGAAATCTCTTAGCACGGCAAAATGTTATCAAACTCAATGTAAAAAACAATTCCAACGTATAGGTGAAGGCACGTCGGATCTGGTCTTAAAATAGACGAGACGACAAAAACAACACCGCTATCAGAATGTGTTAACCAACTTAAATTGTACCATTTTCGGACTGTTTGCTGCATATATACAGGTAATAAGACACGAAAGTTTGTCTCTGTTTAGTTACATATGCATAAGAAATAAATGAAGGACCTTGTGCCTAGCTTGGAGATACTACAAATGCCGATATATCAGTATCTTCTGACTGATATTAAAGTACTTAATCCATTATTATCGTGTTGCATTTAAAATCGTATTTAGTGTCACATGCATTTACTACTTCTAACTCACTTATTAAACTTGTTCATTACTTAAAAATATATATGTATGTATATACATACGTATGTATATATTTGAATATGTATACTTATGCCAACAGAAAGAACATTCTTTGGCATTTATTTTTTGAAAATTATCTCTTTAAAATTTTGGCCGCGGCTCCGTCTCAGAGGGTCCATCCGTTGTGTCCAATTTTCGATGTCTCGTTCGTTTCGACGGGTAACTGGTGAATGACACGCGTGATGTTTTGTTTCATTTTTAAAGAAATTTGGACCGATGATTCCACCAGACCACAAACCACGCCAAACCGTTGTTTTTTCTAGATGAAATGGCAGCTCTTGAATCCCTTTATGTTGCTATTCGTCCCAAATACGGCAATTTTGAATGTTTACATACCTATTGAGCCAGAAATGGGTCTTGGAGTTTTTCAAGAGCCCATAGAGCGAAGCGATGTGACTTGAGAAGGTTTAGAGTTCTTTCACAAGCTGTATTTGTACGCTTTTAATTTAGGATAGCGACGTAAAATGCGCCAAGCCCTTCCATACCTCAGACCAAGTTGCTGCGAACGGCGCCGACTAGACTCTCCACGGTCTTCATATACACTCTCAACTACAGCTGCTGGCTCTCACGATGTGTGGAGGTGTTGCGAATAGTACGCTCAGTAGGCCGATTATGTTGACCATAAGTTGAACAAAGCGCGCGAAACATTCTTTACAGAACGTGAATTTTGGTAATAAAACTGAGCAATTTGTAAACGTTGATCAGACGTAAATCTTTCCATGATGGAATGCCAACAATAACATGACGATTCACGCGTGATCTGTCAAAGAGAGGCGTCTTTAACAGTTTTTCTAACATTCACTCAACACACCAGGGTGCAATGCAAGCACGCAAAGAGTGTAATGCCCGAATGAATGTGTGAATCGTCGCACCGATGTTATTTTCTGTGGTGTAACTTCCTATATTAAAGAAGAACATGATACACATACTTATGAAACAGACTGTAGGGTGCGCTCGAGCGACGTAATATGTACTTGTAATTACAGCAGTACTGCTACTGTGTTGCACATTTGCTGATACTCTGCTGATGTAAGGAAAAAAATTTAGTGTTACCGATTATTTGCATAAATTACAAGTGTTGTAAGAATTTCACACAGAACGTGATACTTTGACAAATTTGCAACACTGCTGTCGTGATTGCCATCTCGAACGCACCCGTAATGTACTTATAAGTATGGCATTGTGCATTATCGTGATGAATAGACCAAATCATATTTTTTATGCATATAGATTTATAGTTGTATTATAAGAATTGTTTATAAGATAATATTGTTAGAAGTACTTTACTTGTTTAGGTATAAATTTTAAGTGTTATTATTAATATTTAATGTATTTAATGTAATATGTATATATAAATATAGTATATTTTGGATTATTATATACTTTTACTTCTACTATTATATTATATAAACATATATGTATTTATATGTCTTTATAAATTAAATATATTAATTAATTTTAATCATTAGTTTAAGTATACACGTTTTTTCAATAAAATAAAGCAAAATAATATAAAAAATACTGAGTTGTATTTAAAAGAATTGGAATTGGTTATGGTAACAAAAAGGTAACCGATATGCTAACATATTGTAACGGATTTCTCGATAATTCGTCTTCTTGTAACTCACTTTTGAGTTCGATCATTGGATTGTTAAATAAAAGTCTCAATTTAAGGGCTATACACTTATCTTTATTTCTAATTCCAACAACTTAACACTTATTGCTCGATATTCGAGTTTACAAATTATTGCTTATAGTTTAATTGCTCTTTACACGGCAACACTCTAATTAGAAATGTGTCTGCTGCACAATCCGGTAGCCCTTATATAGTAGATTGTTAACTGAACTTCGCTACTCGAACATTCTGGCAACCACGAATTTCGCTATTTAGTTGGTTCTAGCAGGTTATCATTGATTCTAATTTGTTCTAGCATTCGTGTTCACCACAATATGCATTTGTTAGAGGTAACAGATGGATAACCAATAGAGCAGAGAATGCAAATGATTTTTTTTATAGTAGGGAGAAAAATCGAAAGCCGAAGTGCGGAACTTTAATCCGCTAAACCTAACCTACTCCCAACTCATATCTCTCCCATGGAACCACCGGATTAAGTATTACTTCATGGGAGGGAAAAGGATATTTAAGTCTTCTCTACGGAACGGACTGACTGACTCCTAAGCTGTTGCAAGTATCTCAGTTTTGTCATAATTAGAGCTGCCGCTTCGCTGACAGCTCTCCATTTATCAAAAGACTGACACATATGTGTTGTCAGAGTTTCCACCGTTACACTCCCGCCAAGTGTAGATTTTAACTTTTCCCTAATATTTAAAAAACGGGGGCACTAACGGCAAATACGTGTTCAGAGTTTTCTATGCACTCTGTACACGTCGAACAATACGGACTAACATCATGATTTATTTGGAATAGATACTTTCTAAAGCATCCATGCCCACTCAGTATTTGGGTTAGGAGGAAATTCAGGTCCCCATGTCGCCTGTCTATCCATGAATGAATGTCCGGAATCAGTCCGTGGGTAAATCGTCCTTTAGATGAGGTTTGGCATCGCTGCTGCCACATTGTGAGGCTCTTGATTCTCTCCTCTTTTTTTACTTTTGAAGACTGCACTAAAAGCTGGTACAGTCGCGCGAATTCGTCCCCCTGAATAACAATAGGCGGCATGCTGGGTAATAAAACTTCAGCAGCATCACTTGATATCGTTCGGAAAGCACTTATTACTCGGATTGCAGAGAGCCTATGCACTGCGTTTATTGGTCTAACATATGATTTTATATCTAGCGCTTGTTTCCATATTATTGCTGCATATAATACCACGGAATTTATTGCTTTTGATATTAAAAACCGCCGGCTGGAACGCACGCAGCATCGTTCCCGATAGGGCGTTATAAATTTTGTTTGCTTTACCGGAAGTATACGCCTGTTGTTCCTTAAATTTTAATTTGGAGTCTAGTATTACTCCCAGATAGCTGCGGCTGCGAAGAAATATCGCATTTTCCTATGGTGAGTGTTAATCTTCCTTCCAGCTTCCCTGTGCATATGAGCAAGACTTCCGTTTTCTGCTCATCCAGCTCTAAACTCAGACCAAACGGCGCAGACCATTTATGCAATCGTTGCATTTGAGTCTGAGGTCATCTATATAGATGTTTAGCCACTGCTACCACTATGCGGTCATCCGCATACGCTATTGTTTTCACGTTTTTTGGTTGATGTATTCTTAGTACCCCGTCGTACATCAAGTTCCATAATATGGCGCCTAAGACCGAGACTTGCGGTACTTCCCTCGAGATAGTGTAGCTCTGAATGCCCTCATCAGTGTCGAATAACAATCTGTGATTTTTTAAATAGCTCATAATATTTACGGAATATTGGGGAGCGCGTATTTCGTAAAAGCTGTGATTATATTTGCCCACTTTGCGGAGTTAAACGCATTTCTCACGTCCAGAGTAATTAGCGCGCAATACTTTTTTGTGCCACATTTCTATCTTTTGCCACTTACTGCACATTTCGCAGTAGGAACGACTTCTCGTAGTGCGTTAATAGTGGAACTCTTTTTTATAAAGCTGTATTGCCTTTCTGATAATCTGCCTTTTTAAACACCTAATTCCAAGCGGTTTCTTACAATGCTTTCGTACAATTTACCAATCGTGTCGGGCATGCACAATGGTCGATAAGATGATGGTTCGTCCGGTGGCTGTTTTGGCTTTGAAAGTAGTACCAAACGCTGTATCTTCCAGGGGTCGGGGAGAATCTTATCTATTATACACGCATTGTACATTTTTGCAAACAACCTGGGTTTTATAGTCTTGGCTTCCTTTAGGGCTCTGTTGGGTATGCCATCTATTCCAGGTGCTTTGTTGTTTCTTAGTCTTTTAGCTATGGTCAATATTTCATCTTCAGTGACCAACAATGGTGGCTCTGCATCATTGCTTCGTGGCTTACCGTATAAGATAGGATGGTGTGTCGGATATACTGACCCGACCACTCTTCTCATAAAGGATGCGCTATTAGGCTGCTGGGACTTTTTAAATTTGGACATGCAAATTTTGTACGCAGTTCCCAATTGATATGTTAGCTTCATCACAGAGCTTTTCGAAACTGTTTCTTTCGCTGCGGGTATTCGCTGACTTCAGGAGCTTCTTGTGCCTTTTAAACGTTTCCCTAAACGCAATTTCGTTTGCACCACTCTGGTTACGCTGTAGGCGACGTCTGGATGAGTGACAAAGTTTCCTGAGCGTGGCTATTTCTTCATTCCGCCAATATACTGACCTTCGTTTATTACGGTGTGCTGTCCTACGCATAGTTGCGTCACACGTTGCGACCAGTGATTTCCGCACTGCGGATACCAAGTGGGCGGCGTCTTCACCTGGTGTCTCTGACTCCAGACTATCTCAAAAACGTCTTTATCGAAATCTTTTTGCCTTCAGCTTTGCCTTTGAGAAGAATATATACTAGGGTGATCCATTTAGTAAACATTAGGTCTATTATAGAACCTTTATTTCTTTTTTGGTAGGTATTTTTCGTGCCGCTATTCATTAACATGAGGTTCGTTTAACTTAGGAATTCCAAAATGAGACTACTATGGTTTGTTCTTGTGCTGCCCCAAGCAGTTTGAACCTCACTCATCAAGACCGCTGTCACTTTTCATTTTTCGCAGAATGTCAGCATATGACACACCCTCCTTTTTGGTTATTATGATGGCGTCCGGTTTCGTTCTTATTTTTTTCTGAGTCGGTTTCTTCTTTTCCACAAGGTCACTCATTTTATGTTGACCGCTAGTGTTTTCCTTTATTATTCTCGTGGACTCACTGGTTGTTGACTGCACTTTTTCAACAGCTTTTTGGTTTTTTCGTAGGTGGTAAGTATCCCGATGTCTCGCGCAGCCGTTTTAGGGTATTTATCTCTATAAATGGGAGACACTTGGGTTGCTTTCCCAACCATAAATTTTTTTGGTTGATTTTGCGGTTTCTCGGCTTTGTTATACAGGCTCGTTATGCTCTTCAGTAGATCGCGCATAGCTTGGTCAACGTGCCTTTGACCAGCCATCATATTCCAACTCTTTTAGTTTACTACCCAGTTTGTTGAAATAATCAGAAGTTCCACGATTTTCATATTTCTCTTTAGCCTGGTCAGTAATTTCACCATTAAATGTTGATCCAGCAGCGGTGGATTGGTCATTTCTGCCATTAGGTGGCGTTCTCAAAATTTTAGAATTCCTCCGAAAAGGATTCTCTGGTGTACGCCCCATATTATTCTCAGAGGTCATACCTCAGCTTGAGAATAGTTTGGGTACACCTGTCAATGAGTATGTTCAAACCCTAGCGCTAAAACCTTACTTATGTTGTGAATGGTTAGCAACGCCACAACCAAAAGCAAAACGAAAAGGAGAAAACGAAGTGGGGAACAGCTGTTTAATCAAAAAAAAAAAAAACGGCAGATTGAAAAAGTGCACGTTTTATATAAATAACAGGGAAAAATTAGGGGAAATGATAAATATAACTAAAAATTACAAAAATTCTCTTAAATAAAGGAGCAGGTAAGTGCAAATGATTTTTTATATAATACAAATTTGTACTTATATATTTATTTAGGCTAAATCCACTTAGATCGTCCGGTCCGGTAAGTCCAAAACAAAAATCTAGTGTGCCTCACAGTGAAAAGTTGGGATTATCAGTAGGTAACCCAAGAGCGCGAAACAACACGTCCACTTCACTCAAACACTACACTAGATATATACTTGTAGTGTAATGTTAATGAAAAGAGGAGGCGCAAATGTTAGCTGTACTAATATCAGAGAATGTTAATGAATAGAGAAGGCGCAAATGTTAGCTGTTCTACAAGTATATGTTTACTATTAGGGAACATCGAAAACGCCCAAGTGTGAAAATAAAATTTCACCACTCTATAAGGAAACCAAGCAAAATGTATGCCCAGATGTACTTTGGCATGCATGCACATATTAGTAAACGAAAATTAAAATAAAAAAAATAAAATGAATTGACTTATGACAAAAAAATGTATATAATGAAGGAAATAATAATAAAATTAGAATTAAAATGTAACTTAATAAAAACTGTTTCTAAAAGTAAAACAGGTTATAAAAATTATTTGTGATAGGATTTGTACTTAGGCAAAATATTTGATGTTGCAATTAGGCATTGTGCTATGCAAACAGCAACACAGATAATATCTAAATAGAGGAGTCGATTGTGTGTTTACTTCTTTAAAATGACCAATTTGTATGTGAATATTCTCGAAATTTTCTTTCCTTCATGCGCATGTTGAAATATACATACTTATGCACAAATATGTCCCTCAATATGCCATTTGTAAAAAATTACACATTCACTCAAGCGACAAAAAACGCCCAGAGCAAGGTTGCGACATTTTTTCTAAGTGTCATCTTACAACGACAATAAATTCATTCAAATGGAAAGCGCGTTTGCTATAAAGCAAAGTGCATTCGTTGATAACTCTACGTCGCCCTCTTTTTTCAGTGCGTC